TTTCTCAGACAAATATAACATATCATCAAATCAATTTTTAAAGTATTTTGGTCTTATTGATGCTATTCCTGGAAATTGGTTAGTTTCCTTGAATAGCAGAGATAATGAAAATGAATCTACCCTTACCCATATTAAAAGAGCTTACTCAGAAATCGTAGAGAGAGTATATAGGTTAAACCTAAAAACTCAAACCTGTGTTGAAAAGTGGGAGAGGTTATTTGGCACAAACCTAAATTTTGAATATTATTTCAAACTACCTTTTATTATTACTGATGATGTGTCACTCAGAAATTTTCAATACAGACTGATTAATAGAAGTAATAATAATAATGTTTATTTGCCATAGATTACATAAAAAAATAACAATACAGCAATAAATAATAACTAATAATTATTGATAAATAATAATAATAATATTAATCTATGGCTGGGAAACAGAAATTAGCTCATGCAGAGCTAGTCTAGTCTAGTCTGTTTCCCATCAAAATATATTTTTAAATAGCTATTTATTAAAAAGGGCAATCAAGTAGACAGAAAAAAAAACTTATTTACAATGGTTTGCTTACACACCGATACATGTTTGTATGCCTCTATATATACATATTGGAATATAACTATGGATGATTACAGTGGATTAAATAGTCTTTCACTTCTTTTTTAAAATTTGCTCGAATACGAATCAATTGGATATCCAGGGGTAAGCTGTTCCAAATTTTAGTTCCCTGGTAATCGACTGAAAACTGACCCAAATTTGTCTTTTTCATTGGTAGAAAAAAGTTTGAATTATCCCTTGACCTACTGTGATAATGGTGAGTATGGAAATTGAAATAGTAATTAAGGTCACGTGGCAATCTGTGAAATTGTAGGTCATGTATAAATGTACATAGCTGATACTTAAATTGGTCATATATATTGAGAATACGTAGTGACTGAAAAAGAGGTTTACTATGTGCACAATAGTCTTTAAATAGTATGATACGAACAAGCTTTTTTTGTTGTTTATATATAGGGTCTAGAAATGTGCGATACGTACTACCCCACACTTCTAAACCATAGGAGATATGAGGAAGAATTAGAGAATTATACAGAAGGATAAGAACGTATTTGGGAAGTGTAT